GCTAACACTACTTCATTGAACTCCGGTTGATAGTTGCCTAATTGGCAATCATACCACATCTCCTTACTTGTTTTGATATTCTATACATGACTTTTAATTTCGCGTCTTGTCTTAACATGTATGAAATATTAGTCGCTGGACGTTAAAAACAATCAACCAACAATCAATCAATTTAAACTCGTGTTAAATAAGGAGAAAATCATTCGTTTTTTTTGGGGAAAAAGGGGGGCAGGGGGATTTTGAATATGAATATGGTGGACAAGTAAGAGCTGGAAAAATTAGGCATGCTTATAAATTCATGGTAGTGTACTATGGACTCTCTTTCAAATGAGAAATAGGAGATTTAATTCTGTAATTAAAATTTGAATACCAAGCTCCCCATTCAAAACATCATTGTTAAAATATTATAAACTTAATATAATTGGAGAACTGGAATGATTTTAAACATGCAAATAGAAGAAGGCTGCTTATATATTATAAATATAGTTATAACATGACTTTGATTTCCGACACTCTTCGATGATATGATATTCTGATGGCATGGTACACTTTACATGAAAAACAAACAAATGAAAATAACTTGTTTTTAACCGTGTTTGTTTTATCGAGCACTTTAACATATTATTCATTATAAAACTGTGTATTTCTATTGCATTTAAGGATGTCCGCACCTCTGTTTCAAAATTATAAGCTTTTTAAAAGACTGTTATGAATTGATAGTGTATAAGTAATGGAACTTAAAAAGTGAAAAAAAATGACAGGTCAGTGTCCTTTTTTTGTTATATAATCTGTCTAGGATTGTGGGAACGTAAAGCTTATCTGAATGTGCCGCCACCACTAAATGTATGACGTCGCGTATCTATGTTGAATATTGTCATAATATTATGCTTATGTTTGAATAGAATATTAAACTGTACAGTAGAATCAACCTAACCTTATTATAACTCTAAACCTTACATTGGTGTCGCGACTAACGGAGAGAACGGATATCAGTAGATTGAAATCTTTGAGAGTGTGGAACAGAGCAGCGGTTACGAAAGTTTTCAACAAACTGGAGGACACCATCGGCGATTCGCCCTTCGACGCGGAGGAAATCTTCAAATTACTGGAAGCTATCGACTAGAAAAGAAAACTCTAGCTAATATTGATGAACAGATACTAAATACAGTGGATTCAGAAGGAATTACGGATGAGATACTCAAAACAGATGAGTATTATTTAGAATAAGAGGCCAAAGTTGGAATTTATTGCACATTCAAATTCATTTACGCATTCCAGTCGGGAGTAATCACAAACAAGTTCGACCTCAAGTCAAAACTATCGGCTTCCCAAGTTATTGCTTCCAACTTTTAGCGGAGATAATTCAGAATGGCAATATTTCGGGGATTTATTTATATCCACAATTCATCATAACCGCCTCCTAACCAACATTCAGAAATTCTTATATATGAAGGCCTCATTGCAATCAGATATCGCATACGTAGTTTCAGGCTACAACATGACCAACCCAAATCACTACAAGGTTATTTAACTTTTAAAGAATCGTTATGGTCAAACTCACAAGATAATTAATGCATAAATGAGATCATTTTTAAAAATGCCTGAGCCTGATGAATGTTTGCAGAGTATAAGAGAAATTTGCGATGAGTCCGAGTCATATATCAAAGGTCTAGAATCATTAGGAACATGTCAAGAAATATTTGTTTCATTACAGTAATTCTTGGAAAATTGCCTGAAGATTTGAGGAAAAACATACCACGAGAAAACTAAAGAGATGACTCGAGTATACTCTGAGGGGATCACTTTTCCAATAACTGCATGGATTTTACAGAACATGAAAGAAGAATAACCATTATTAAAGAGAAGAAATTGTGTTTCAACTGTTTTTGTACACGCACAATATCAGATTGTCGCTCTAAATACGACTGTAGAATTTGCCATCGTTACCATCACACAACACACTGCAAGAAAAATACAATTTTGCTGAAAACAGCAGTAGCTCAGGTAATGTCGGTGAATAAAACGAGGCAAACATTCTTTTCACGAAGGTGCCCAAGGTTCCTTTATGACTGAATACTTAGCTACTAAAATATTAAAAGGGATCCCAAATTTGAATATAGTGTGAATCCATCATCAAAACAGATAATTGCTATAGTTAGACAACCAAGACTGTATTTGGACGATATTGGATTATTGCGATGTGGAGGAAGACCTAACAACGCACCATTAGATTCCAGTACCAAGTATCCAATTTTGTTACCAATTAAACACTATTATTTTCGTCGTTGATGATTATTAGATACATACATCACAAATTTACACTCCGGAATAAACAACACTATTGCGCATATTCAGCAAATGTTTTGGGTTCCTATGATTCGTCAACATGTGCAATACCACCGTACCTTAGAAAATAATCACAGTGCAATTAAGTAACAGGAAAACCTTACGGCGCACCTGAGCCACCACCGCTTCTTAAAGAAAGACTTTACGACGAATACCCCTTTTTTTTATCACAGGTGTTTACTTTACAGGTGCTTTCTGTAAAAAAGGACAAAATAACATTGAGTGCAGAACTTATATTTACCTATTTAGCAACACGAGCAGTGCATCTTGAAATTGTACTGGATCTAACAGAGGAGTCATTTATGTTTGCTTTAAGGAGATTTGTGGCACGTCGTTCACTTCAAAGAAAAATGATGTCAGATAACGCAAAGACATTTTAAGCTTCAGCCGAATCAATTAAAAAAATAGTGGATCGCGGAACTGAATGGAAATTAATCCCAAATAGAGCCCACTTGTTTGGTGGATGGTGGGAAATAGTAATACATATGGGACTTACAAAAAAAGCATTTAAGAAAGTATTAAGTCGACCATTTGTTTCTATTGACATGCTTAAATCAATAGTAACTGAAGTTGAAAGTATGCTAAATAACCCTACCATGACGTATATTTAAACAGACATAACTAATCCACAACCACTTACGCCATCACACTTACTTACCGGGGGGAGATTTGATTCGTTACCACATCAAATGAATTAGATTGAAACCTCCACAATTCTAATAATTCGTCTTGTAACAAAAAACTTCAAAGACAACATCAACTTTTTAAACATTTCCGTACACATTGGAGGAATGAATATTGAACATCATTACGAGAGTTTCACCATGCAACCGGTAATAACATTCAACTATTGGAGTAAGTGACATCGTACAAGTTCACAACGATTCTAATAGGCTTATGTGGAGGTTAGCAGTCGCAAAGTATTTGATTGGATGGACTCATATGAACGGCTATTATCAAAACAGACATGGATATAACAAACCGACAAATTGTTGAATTGTATCCGTTAGAATTACAAGGACCAAATAGTGAAAATAGTAAAACGCATTATTCTCTTCGTTCCTATCCTAAGTAAATTCCAATTTTACAGAAGTAGGATAAAGACTTTGTAAGATTAAGATAGTGATTATGGACAGTAGAAACTGTTGTATGGATTGTTACAGTGGTGTTCACTTTCAATGACATTAACTGACCGAGGTACAATTTTAAAAACAGTTTTGATTTAAGTTAAAGTATAATTTTGCAAGTATCATATATTAAAGAGACAGTACAGTAGAATCTTTTTCATTCTTTGTTATTGTAAATTTTATTTATTTCTTAATAATTTCCATGTCCAGTGACCCCCATGATGTCGAGGATTGCGGGAACGTAAAGCGTAACTATATATGCCGCCGCCACTAACTGTATGACGTCGAGTATCTATGTAGAATATTTTAACTATGTTATGCTTCTTTTTGAATAGAATATTGAACTGTACATTTGTATTTTCTTCAGATTCAACCTAACCTTATAACAACGCGAAGTACACAACTCAAAACCTAACATAATCCATAGAAAATTTGGCGGGAAATGATCATCTCTAGATTTTTCATACATTTAACATTGGCACCGTTTTTCTTTCAAAAACTATGAAATATAACAAGGATGTTATAATATTTTCAGAAATGGCTTTTTATACTACATGTAATTAAATTATGAAAAGAAAAGTAGGGGTTAGCGGGCAAAGTTTTTATTGGCACTGCTATCTGTTCGTTTTATCTTGAAATTTCTGAATATGGTATAAAAATAAAAAGATATGGTATAAAAATAAAAAGATATGGTATGATGAGTCTATTATCCAAATCAACCAACTTTCAGATTCTACCAAATAGAGATGTGTGTATGTATTGTTTGTTTTCTTTGTCCTGAACTATCATGCAATATTTGTAACTGGATGTCCAGGAATCACCAATTAATCAATTATACAACGGTTAAGCTTTGCAAAACTATAATATTCAAAACATGGTATAACATTTTTGTTTTGTCAAACTTCTGAATGATCGTTCCTTTACTATTAATTGATTATGGCAATGTTTTATAGCGTGATATTATAAAAATAAAGTACAAGTATAATAAACAAAGGCCTTTTATAGCTAGATAACAATATGAGTTTTTTCTTATTGGTGAAGGGCGTACGGTGACATATAGTTGCTAACGTTTACGGCATACGGTCTCTGGTGGATAGTTGTCTCATTTGCAATCAGTATGACATTTTATTATTAGTATATAAACATCGAGACATAATCGATATCTCATATAAAAACATAATGGATTGTGCTATCATTGAATCTTTTTAACAAAGCAACAAACGATGCTGTTCGTTTCTCATTGATTAAATCTTCTGGGTTTTGTTTTTGCAAAATTTTTATAGCTCAATTAGAATGAATAATTTGAATTCAAAAAAATAGATAAACATTAAAATCGAACTAAATTAGTAAGGAATCAGTATAGGACAACAAAATGTGATATGGATCTACGTATGAGTATTGCAATCGGATGATTATATGATGGACGGTCTTCTGCGGTCAGGAAGGGCAGAAAACCTTCATCAGCGGGGAAAGGCTGGTAGAGGAATTATTTGTATTGTATTACTTTCGCAGATACATTCATTAAAATCTGATCTTCAAAAAGGACAATTTCTGATTCATAAAAACATAGTACTAACACCATCGTTGTCTGTAATTTCTACAGAGGAACGTTCTTTACATCGATGTGCTGCTGAATGTTTAAAAAGAAAATCTTGCTGCGTTTGCAGTTATGATGAAAGTACAAGAGTTTGTGTTATTGAAACATCGGGTTGCTGCAATGTTCAAACGAAATCGTCTCAAGAATCTGTTGTGATGGTCAGAGAAAACAAAGGTTTGTTTGTCATTTTTGTAATTCCAAGAAAACTAAAATTTCAGTTTTTAGGGTTTGTGAAGGGAAGCGTTGTGCTTGTATTTGCTGCTATTAATATGATCCTTTACATCAGTATGTATCAGGCACGTAGTTTTACTACATGTAAACTGGGACTTGTACTGTTTATCATAGTAGTTTCGGGTGTATACTACTGTCGGGTGTATACTACTGTCAATTCGTCCTTTAGAGTGTAACGCACAACAATATCATGATCGCTATTTACACATCATGGTCCATTCGATTCACAGAGATGTGATTTATAAATTTATATATACATATATCATGTATATACAAAAAATGTCATGCTAGAATATTTGATGGCTGCTATTTAACGTACTAATATCAATTTGATTTTCTATCTATAGATATGTGTACACTACCACATAGCCATAATAGATGTGCAATGAACTGTTATGTAATATGTTGCTCATTATTTCTGAGTCATGTACCAATAATTTGTTTTCAAAGTTATTGTTCGTAGCGCGTCTTCATATGGTATGGTACCATCTATTTAAAATCATGAAAACATTGATTATCTGATGGTTGTGGACTATTTCTTGCATAAAGAGACGGTCATTCCATTTACATGACAAGACAAGACAAATACTTTATTATATGTCGTATACATGTGTATGGAAATCTTATCTTTTGCGTCCGCGTCAAACCATAATTTCATTTTTTATAATTTCTTTATATTATCAATTGTTAATTATTAAAGTTTCAGGTTCCTTTAATTGTTGTTGTACTTGACAAAACTGAATGATTTTAATTTCTTCTGGTCAAGTTCTTTTTTTATAAGTAAGTAAATTTGTTTATTATAGTGACATGTGTAAATCAGCATAAATATATAAATTTGTACAAAATATAATTACATATGTAATACACCCGGCCCAATGGACAAATAAGTCACCTTTTACTTTCAATTCAATATAAATGTTCTAATATCACGTGTTGATTGTCAATTTAAATTTAAATACAGATAATTATAGATTAAGAATTAGCGTTTGTAAAAGTTCATATATTATTTTCTATAGTTTGTGAAAAAGTTTAAGAATGTTAACTAGAGTAAACTGATTGTTTTCTACGAAAAAGTGACGCTGGTTCACCATTAAAAATGTTATCATCTAGTTGCGTATAGTCAGGCACCATTAATATCTCGCTAAAACAGTTTGTCTGATATCATTATGAAATGTGCAGTTTATAAGAAAATGTATCTCACTTTCAACATTTTGAGAACTACAAAATCGACATAGTCTGTTTTCTACTGGTACCCCAATATATCTACCAGTCTCAATTCTGATCGGTAATATCCCGCATCTAAACTGGGCTAGCACAGATCGCTCGTGATTCGTTAGATTTAGTTTTACATAGTGCTCTAGTTTGAAGTTTGTTTTAAAGTTAAGGTAAGATCGTAGCTTTAGCTTATTTATCAAGGACTCTCTCCATATATCACAGTAATAAGTTCGTACAATTTGTATTTTATATTTGATGATTTAAAAGTTCTCCCCGCGATCTAGTATTTTGAGCTAATGCGGCGTTAAGATAACAACAATCAATCAATTAATCAATCAAGGTATGTCATTTTAGTATCATAGATTAAAAAAAGGAAATAACACTTTATAAATTGCATGCGTCCGAAGCGCATTTCTGGATTTACCATTTTCGGGAACGCTAAAAGCCAAATATTTGAATATTTAATTTAAACGTTGAAACAGTATTAAGTATCAAATCACCTTAAAAATCTATATTAAACCAAAGAAGAAAATGTAAAGCGTGCTGTTTAGATGTAGGCTAGATTCTAAATGCTCCTGGAAAAGCGTCTTGCAGTCATGATATATACGGTCTTCATCAGACAGACAGCTATGCTTTTCTAGTTTCGAAAAGCAGTGAATACCAGGGATTTGATAAAATACCAAATTCCACCAGATGGCGTAAGAAAACACATTCAGATATAACAAAAAACAACCACTCACATGTTTCATAGCGTTGAACAGACAGATAAACATGTTGTGAAATTCGACTGTTATTTTAGGTCTCATTCACCCATTTATATCGTTCATTCCTTTGTTTTATGAAGATAGGAAGACTAGTTTACCCTCGAATTTCTCTCGGACAATACTCTCGAGAAATATGCATTTGCTTGTGTGTACAAATCTTCATATCTTCCTAAATCGAGGGAAATAAGTGCAAACTGCTCACAGTTTCTGAAAGCAAAGTATTTAACCTTTTAATATTCAATAATGCTGCCGAGGATTTTTTAGTGTTATTGTGAAACACCATTCATTATTAAATTCAAACAGGCGCAATCATACTTCTGCAGTAAATGAATTTTTTGAAAAGTGATAATATCACGGGAACTAAAATTACTATATTATTACAGAGACTAGTTGAACATATCAAATGGTGTTACATATTAATCAAATACGAAATATCTTAATATATATAAATTCATTACATGCAATGCATTTACCATGTTTACTATGGCATCTCAAATGACATTTCTTAACTGAGTTCTAAGCTGCATTTACTAATACCATTTGTATTATCTTGTTAGAATTAAGAGGCAACAATGATGGCTGGCTTTACTCCGTGTTTGCCCACATTAACTATTTTTTTTAGATTTTTTCTTAAATAGAAGAATCGCATATTGATTGTAATTTGCAACAGGTAAATTTTGCCCAAATCAAATTATAGTTAAAACCCCTCGAGTAATTAGGTTATTATTATGTTGTTGGAAATTTTTTTAATGAAAATTTAAAAAAATTCACTTTCATAAACTTTAAAAATTGGTCACACATTATCTATATACATTTTTATCATATTAATCTATTTGAAAAGTCGAAACGCGCAACGAAAAGTACAAGAATTTGCAACGAACTGTGCAATTCAAACACCCTGTAAAGACAACAAACGGTACAGTAGTGAAATACGGATACCAGTCTTTAAACATCTACATGTGTTTAACTGAAATGCAATGAGTTTGTCATTTGTTGAAGCTATATTACACTACAAACCAGTAAAAGTCTGAAATGGCCTATATCTGTACTCGACTGTACTGATTTTTACTCGACCAGTCTGAATTGGTCTGAATTTTACTCGACATTACTCGACCCCAGTCTTAACCATACTCGACTGTACTGATTTGAACTTTACCCTTATCTTTGCCATTGAAAATAGTCTGAACTATTACTCGACCAGTCTGAACCAGTCTTAACCCATTCTCGACCTGTACTCGACCTATTTTTTCAGTCTAAACCATACTCGACCAATGGTCTGAACAATACTCGACCAGTCTGAACCATACTTGACCAAATAACCTCTACTTTTTTCTAAATTTTAACTGTTAAAATAAATTTCTTTTTAACTGACATGACAACAGCCACAATAGAATAAAGATATATTATAAAAACAGATTTTTACATTCTTACATGATTCTCAGATTTATCAAAGAGAGATAGTTAAATCAAATTATCTTATATAATAATTTAATTATATTAATGTCGAAGTTTTAGAGTTTTGTTAAAAAAAAAATTTCTTTCACCTAAAAACCACACCTATACTGAGGGTAATTAAACCTTATTAAGGTGCTTCTTGTTTGGCATGTGTTTTATTTTTTTTAATTAATTTTCCTAAATTCCTAAATAAAAACTACATAGGTTTCATGGTTACATACAAAAAATGTACAATAGTTATATAATTATCTTTTTAATGAGGTAACAACAGCCAACAAAATCACTGAAATTGTTTTACCTTATTTTAGAAATATATCTATTATTATAATTTGGGATATATTATATACAATCAAAAGTCCATTACTAGTCTAGTAATGGACTTCTGATACAATATATATCAAAAAGGGATAAAAATTAAAGAAATTAATAAAATTGTTCTTCTGATTAGTGGTGAAGTATAAAGTAATACCTCCTGCTTGGGGCAAACTCATGAAAAAGATCACACCTGGTCAGAGAGTATTAAATTCTAAATAACATTCATTCAAAATTGCAACATCCTGTGAAATTTAAATCACAAGGCCTTTTGAATTCACTTAGAATACACGAGTTTAAGAAAAATAGGGCTTTCTTTTCACCTGTAAAACATACATGTACTGAGGTAATTAAACCTTATTAAAGTGCTTCTTGTATGCCATGTCTTTAATTTTGACAAAAATTATTTAAATTAAACTGAAATAAATTTTTACTGTAACTTTGGAACACATTTCCTTTTTTTAAAGTATATCACAGGATTACTATGGCAGTTCTATTATCATGATTATATTAAATTCTTGGTTTAACAAAACAAAGGTGTCATTTTTTAAATTTATCCAGTTGCTTTATATGCTATTTTATATATATTTTAATAAAAAAAATGTTCAATGCATTATTAACTAAACTCAACTGACACCATAAATCTCTACTAGGCTTAAGTAAATGGTGAAAATTGTCCAGTAACCATAAAATATATCTAAAACATTCAAAAATTTTTGAATAACATTGAAAATATTAGTCACAATTCAGTTTTGAGATTATTTGATCAGCTTGTTTTATTTTTATTTTAAAGGTTATATATATGTATGTATATAAGTGTTGATGAATATGGTGTTAAAGTTATAGTATGTTTAATGTGAAATTTTGGTTTCAATGCTATATTGAATACATTTTTAATTTCAAATTGATGTTCAAATTTCTAGCCAGGGGAAATAGCTGTTGTTAAAAACAGTTCCTAAATTGATGAAATACAATAGATAGATACAAAAAATAGGTCTAGGTTGGTTAAGACTTGGTCGAGTATGGTTCAGACTAGGTCGAGCATGATTCAGACTAGGTCGAGTATGGTTCAGACTAGGTCGAGCATGGTTCAGACTAGGTCGAGCATGGTTCAGACGCGTATAAAATGGTTAAGTACTGGTTGAGTACAAGTTCAGACTGTTAAGTATGGTTCAGACTACAGTCGAGTATCATCAAGTAAATTTCAGACCAATTCAGACTGGTCGAGTAAAAATCAGTACAGTCGAGTACAGATATAGGCCATTTCAGACTTTTACTGGTTTGTAGTGTTAGGTAAACATATGTATAAATTACTAATAAGCAGCTAGAAACAGAGACTTGTGCAAAACAAACTGGATTTAACAATTAATTTAAAAAGATAAAACATGGTAGACGTACTCGAAGACTAAATGTGGCCGAGAGCTTTGAAATTCTATTTGCTGTATCAAATGCATATTTGTTGTTCATGTAATATTATAAAATTAATAATGTACATTTAATGCCAAAATTCAGGCCAACCTTTGTTCTATGTGCATTGTATTCTTACTTTTACGGCTATTCGTCTTCGAAAGATTGTATTTTGACCCTGTTCCTTCAACCTCGATTCGATACACAGCAACGTCGGGGATTAACCGTACGGCTGTTAAATCATGTGTATATACATGTGATTAAAAATTAACCAACCAGGTTGACACCAAAGTTTGTTTTTTTTCTTTCTAAAGCATATCTTTTCGTTTAAATATTTCATTATATATGTATTTTCAATTTCAGAAAGCTTTACAGATATTCCACTCGACTGTAGTGACATTTTGAAATGTTGGTCAACCATAAGTGGTGTATTTACAATTTACCCCGAAGGTATAGGTGCACTCAAAGTCCTGTGTGATATGAACACCGATACAGGAGGTTGGACTGTAAGATCATCATCATCATCATCATCATCATCATCATCATCATCATCATCATCATCATCATCATCATCATCATCATCATCATCATCATCATCATCATCATCATCATCATCATCATCATCATCATCATCATCATCATCATCATCATCATCATCATCATCATCATCATCATCATCATCATCATCATCATCATCGTATATACACATTCTATGATACACACTCCATGATTCCCTATTACCGGTTATCGGTATAGAAGATACAAAACGATCTGTGCTTCCTATTGCTCTTATAAAAAAATGCTATCGTCTGCAGGAGATCTTTGTCTACGTCCCCGATAGCCATTGCAATACAATGTATTTTGTAATGGTGTACAGCTTGGTTGATACGTTAATATTGAATTACATCTTTCATAAAGACATTTCTGACATCATCTACATGAAGAGAAAATATATAATGCGCTAAGTTGAATCCAATCGATTTACGGTAAATCAGTGAGTTAATACCGGCATTTCGTTATTGAGGACCTTAGTTAACCTTTTATGGAGTTGATGTTTCTCAATATTGCGTTTTTTGTGTAATACCATGTTAACAATAAGTATCTTTTCATCTTTTCCCGCTGTCTATGATATTGACTGTTTTAACATCTTCTACTGTCCCCTGGTATTTCTTTAACTTTATTGGCTTACATGACTTTCGTTTAACTGTATATATTTAATCAAAACACCTTTTTGTTCAATTTGTTTGTTCTAACCCCAGGCAAAAGATTGCCTTAGCAGTATTTGGCAGAACATTTGGGAATATTCGGTTTGTGATGCTCTTCAACTTCCTATTTGATTTTGCCTTTCAAATATTTTGATTCGAGCGCTGATGAGTCTTATGTAGAAGAAACGCGAGTTTGAAGCAAAAATTGTAAGCGTTTATAACTCTCAATAAAAAAATAACACTGTTTGTTGTTGTAAATAAGATATACTTATCCCACTCATGGGGGGGGGGGGTAATTAAAAGTGAATCTAGATGACAAAATATCAAAGGCAAACAAAAACGAATGTATTGTAAATCAAGCTGAGGCTCACATACTCTTGGAATAAATACTTTCAGCATTCAACAAAACCAACTCACATTAGGCTTAAACCGGACGCGATATCTGGTAAACTCGTCTTTATCTTGTTTAATATTTCTTTACAATAGATTCTAACTTAAAGGTTATACTTTCTTGTCGGTGAAAACGATATTTTTTATTCAATCTTGATATTCATCAATGGAAGGACAGTATTTTCTTTTGTAACACGTTTATTATCCATACCTAAAAAAAAACATGTCATGGTAAACACATAATCAAATCATTGGTTTATTAATACGACCAATTATATGGAATCAAATGTTGTTTAAATGCCATTGTTTTACTACAAACTGTTTACCCTGGTAGTAAGAATGATTGGGTTTTTTTTCCTGCTGGAAATATTTATACTACAGTAATACCTGTGACACATTCAAATAATCAATTTTCATTTGCTTCCTTGTTTTGATGCCATAGTTAAGTCTCCAAGGTTTTCACAATCCTTATTGATAGTGCTTCAGTACTGACATGATAGTATTTGATTAAATCCATCAAATACCGATATAGATGAATCTTTGAATTTAAAAAAAAAACAGAAAATAATGTAAGCAACAACATACAGATAACATTGCTTTTGCTTTATTTCGTGTTCAAACAAGCAGTTAGATGTCTTTTTACTTTTGGTTGACGACATTTGAATTCAGAAAAATCCATGCTCCTTTGTCAGCCATGATTCTTGTTGCTTTTAGTACGAATAAATTGCAATTTGGGAAACACGTCAATGAGATAGTTGCTTAATGACATGAAATCTGAACCCCATCTTCAGGTTATACGAATTCAGCACCAACAAGTGGATTCATTTATTTTCGTTGGTACCAATTTTCGAGGATTGAGTAAACATTGAATTTTCGTGGGTATTTGATTTTGAGATTTTTGACAAAGTCTGCTTACATGAAATATTGCAAATGTATACTTCGTTGATCATTTTCAATTCGTGGTTTATCTATAATCACGAATTCGACCATAATTGGTATCCACGAACAAAAATGAATCCACAGTGTACAGTATGTATAGCCTAAATCGCGTCGAGTTTAGATAAGAGTTATGTAAACCTTAGTTTTGCATGTGATATGGTATGTTTTGCACATATGATATACATTGTATGATGAATATCTTACATATTCATTCATTGATGATTTTTTGCATAACCAAAATGTATTGATATTTTCAATTGAAGGTGATACAGAATAGAAATTCCGGCTCAACAATGTTTTACACAAACTGGGCTCAATATAGAAATGGATTTGGTAACATTTCATCTGATTTCTGGATAGGTAAGACAAATTTAACAGCTGTATTTGATTTTATATTTGAAATATCTAACTTTCGTATTGGTTTCCACATATTGCATTGATACATTTGTCCTAATCAAGCAAACAATGGCACAACACAAAACGGCATTGCCGTTTAATCGCGATTGCAGATAATCAAAAATTGTTGTCCAACCCTATTTTGACTAAAACTAAACAAACGTAATAATATTTAATAGAAGATATAGATCTAATTGCTTGTTTTTTTTAATGATTTAAACCTGGTATCTCTCATTTTACAATTACTAGGTCGTTAAGTCCCGAGGGTGTAATAAGCACAGCAGTCATCACTGCTGTTTTGACATGAAATATCATTGATGCGGCCATTTGTGTGTAAATTAACTGGTTATATAAAGTTGAGTTATTCGAAATATTAAGGTTTTTACACACATAAGCACCGATGGCCTTTGCCAAATTTGCACAACCATTTGGGAATTTTAGGTTCCAATGCTCTTCAACTTCTTATCTGATTTGGTGTTCCAACTGTTTTGATTGGAGCATCACTGGTGAGTTTGATGTAGACGAAACGCACATCTTGTGTATCAAATTATAAGACTTGATATCATCGGGGATTTTTTTTAATGTGCAAAGCTTACCTATCTCAAAGTAAAAATATGGGCAATTGCTACTCTCATGAGCATCATTTACCTTCTTACAAAAATAAAATCGGAAAGATATTCCTTGCAACCACTCGGTTAATTAGAGCTATTGAAGTTCGTATGACCGAAACTGTTATTCGCTCTTTTTTAACAAAAAACTTGTAAAAAAATCCAACACTTGCAATTGTTGATAGGTTGAATATCATAATCTCGAGCATCACTGAAGAGACATTAATTGTCGAAATGCGCATCTGGTACAGTAAAATTGGCATCGTTAATGTTATTATCCTTATATTTATGAATAAGATACTTGAATACAGTCCAAATTTAAAAACAAAAACTTTATATATATATATATATCGTGGTTAGCAAATACAAAAATCATCCTTATGCAATAATTATAAGATACCAATTGGATTAATTTTAGTTTTTCGCAGAGGTGTTAACTCTCTTTATATCGAAGGAAGCTTTCAATTTTTTCGTTTTCAATTGCAGTTGTTTTCAAAGTACCTGTTGATAATTGATCATCAAAACAGTTTATAATTGTATTGACACAAAAAAGACCTATTTGTATAGCAACGCTTAACCTGAAATACTATTATGTTAGCTAATCAATACACCAATGATTTAATTATTTCGAATATTAAAATATGTTTAAAGTTAATCAGTGTTTATGATATATTCATTTATTATACTTCACGTAAAAATGCAATATTTTGATTGGCTCATACGATGGTGTTAATTTACTCTATTCTATGGTAAATACTCTATTACCCTTCAGGGAGACGCTTGATCAAGTGTGCTCTTTATTAAATAAGACTCTATCCTATTGCAAATACCCAATTGCCCTTCACGGAGACGCTTGATCAAGTGTGCGCTTTACTAAATACGGATGGTTGTTATGTACAAGACGTCATAGTTTATTACTTTGAATTTGAAATTTAATCGACAGTAATAACAGAACATTCAGTATAATAAATTAAATAACACATATCTGAGAGGGTGATAGAGCAGATTGTTACCCCTCGAAAAGACATTGTCAACCTTGGCTTCACCTCAGTTGACAATGTTTTTTCGGGGTAAAAATCTGCTCTATCACCCTCTCAGCTATGTGTTATTTATATAATGTCTGATTTTTTTATCAGGGTATATTCTAGACCGTTGTTTTTATAACTCGTTGTTACTATTACCAAGTGGTGTTCATGTTTTAGTTTGAATAAACTAAGGTAACAACAATCAAGCAATAATACTTCCTTTATTTCAATTTCAATTTTATATTTCGTACTTTGTTTATTGTATATAGGCAATGATAATTTACATATGCTGACATCAAAGAGGAATTACCACTTGCGAGTAGATCTAGAGGACTGGGATGGACAAAGAAGATATGCAGTATACCAGATTTTCATGGTTGGAGATGAAAATACAAAATACAAATTGTCTATTGGGAGTTACAGAGGAACTGCAGGTATTGTTCTTTTGAATTCATTAAATTTCAAACGAATGGATCTTCATACATTTGAGTGAATAAAAGTGGTACAAACTTAAATGCTTTTTGAAGCATAATGAAATATAGTATTAAGCTCCATGTATCAGTTATTTTGTCAATATAAATCGATGTTCATTTAGAATTGTATAATTGGTTAATAGGATAGTCTAACATGTACCTTATTAAGAAAGTAATCCGTATATTTTTAACTCACATGTGCACATTAAATGTATACCATAACGTTAACAACAAGATATAAAATAAAATAAGTAGCAGCAACATTTTAAATACCTTATGCTTGTGCAAGTGCACATTAAATGTACAACATAGTTTACTTGAATGTACAGAAATATATAATGTAAAAGACCAATTCAAATTTTTCTGCAAATAAAATAGAGAAACGTTTATTCCTGACAACTCAAATGTCAGTTAAGTATTCTTTACAGATTTTAAAACAGATTTTAATTATACTTTGCAGGAGATAGCCTCTATTACCATAATGATATGAAATTTTCCACAACAGATTCTGATAATGATTTTCTAACTGATCCAAATATGCAAAGTTGTGCACAACAATACAATGGTGGTTGGTGGTACATGATTTGTTACGAAGTAAACCTTCATGGAACTTATCTAGCTTGGAAAACATTTGGCGGGACATACAATGATCTAAAACATTCAAAAATGATGATAAGAGTTTAGATTTATAGTGTATTATAGATCCCGATTTTCTTGAAGAAATGCATTGTTATAATTGTTAAGTTAGTGAGTCTGACATACCCCACAAACAGATTTTGGAAATTAAATTTTTACTAAATATAGAACTTGATGTAAGAATTGTATAAGATTTAAAAGATGCATGACCCTTCAGAATTTTGAAAAGAAAGATTTGTCACTTTTACTTTGATGTTGTTTCAACCAAAAGTAGCATTATTCACATATCTCGTTTGAGAGTGTTTGTACACCATCTTATGCTAACAAAGTAGATAGATAAATATTAACGACGTGACATAATTCACAAATTTTTCATTTTTCTCCGGTTTGTTTTAAATACGGCAAAAATAATCATAAAAACACATTTGTTTTAAATTGTGGGACACAGAGTGGATTCAAGATGACGAATATATGTAACTTCAACGCTCATGTCATACTAATGATAAAAGAACATTATACTCATATCAACTAAAAATATAAACGTTTGAAATACGAACGAAAATTAGCCTACATGGTAATTTAGTTGATCTACAACACATATGTTTTAAATAGATTTGATATTAAGCAGCAATTTATGCAAAGGGAATTCACAGTTTTTGTGTTAATTATGAGCATTTTGTATTTGTATATTCATTCTCCTAAATAGCTTAATTTCCTTATATTTTGCCGTATGAGTTGTTATGATAATTTCAATTGCTCAAAAACAACATACATTTTACAACTATAGCAAAACTATTTTTTCAGATTATAAAAATGTGTACAAATCGGCCGATTAGGTTGTTTTTAAGCGATCAAAACTTTTGTTATTTGTTTCAATATATACATGGTATATGTTTTCATATAAAGTTAAAATGTTCATTGAAGTTTTAGAATGCGTTAAGAACTATTTGAAAATTTCATTTTACCTATGTAAATTATTGGCATGCTTTAACTTCTTTTCAGTGTTACCTCAGTGGTTTTACTCAATATACTTCTCCACAAATATCGTTTTATGTAAATAATAACCCCAGTATGTATCCTTTATTTATGCACAAATTGCCTTCCTAAATGACGTTTCGTCAATGACCAGTTACGCGACATTTTTATATATATTTTCTTACTCTTGAATATTACATATTGTAAACATTGTTTCCAGATTGGTTGATGGCTTTAATTTCTCAAATACAGCACCAGTTATTGCAAATAGTGAAGCTTTTTTTCTAATTTAGAAAAAAATACGCATCAGTTGAGTCCAGCTTGTTATGCAACAAACATTATAATTATATATTTGAATGGTTCATAAAAATTGTGGTTATGTTATGCAAACTTAGGGAAACATCATTTTCTTACTTACCTATGTAAACGGATGACACATTATAACTATTCTTTTCATTTATTCTTATATGATTTTCTTCAAACTTTTGCACCAAAAATGTCTCTATAGTGTGTGTTCTCCTTGCACATATAACCTACCTAAACCGTATAGGAGCCGTTACGCGATCTAAAGCAAATTGGATAACGGTCCGAAAGTTGGGCACTTTCATCATCTTCCGTATTTCCCCCATGCCGTATGTTTTCTGAATATCAAATTCCAATGGCACTAATGAGTAAGGGTGCTAACGAAACGGGGATTTTTTTTTCGATTACATAATTGTGTAATAATTCAATAAATACAAAAATATGGAAAAGTGGTTTAATAGGAAATATTTATATAGATTGCCCGCTGTAGCAGTTATGGAAACATTTTTTTTGAATAAAGATATCAGTAAAAGTATCGTAGTTGTAAAACAGTTTAAATCTCCAAATAAGGAAATTTATTACAATTTCATATATTTTTTCAGTTTGACTGAAAATTTAAGCTCAAAGTTTATTTCGGAGGAGAGTTCGACTTAGTTTGAGTCTGGTTTACAACATAAGTTAAACTGTTAAAGGTCGTATTAATTTTTGAGTGAAATTTTGAATTAAACGTTTAATTAAAGCCATTGACCGTTCGAGGGCTTTAAAGCCAGTCAAGGTCGTTAAACACTCCCGTAATAGTAAAGTTCAGGTTGGTATTTGACTTCATTAAAAACTACAGTTTACAGTAGTAAAAAGTTAATTTAATCATTCTTAACAAAAATAATAAACCATAATAAGCTACTGCATTCTTCCAGGTTGGAATATGCAATACAGAAAGCTATAATCGTTTGTTATGAGAACAACGAATGTTTAAATAACTATAAGAAAAGGGAAAAGTTACAGTAAGGAAAATACGTCGCGAAAGTTACTTGAGGGTGTTTTCATAATGAGTAATTTGTACCTTTTTAAAATAAACTGCTAGTGATAAGAAACGTCACCAGTTTACGCTTCCGTATCATTTAATGCATGAGATAATTTGATTCATCAGCAAAATCTAGCTTAACTATTTATTTGATAGTGATTTCACTTTTTCTAGAACACTTTGATTGTGATTCTATATACGAATTGCACAAGTGCATGATTCAAACAAACCTAACACGAACCAAGTTGAGACGGCCTTTAAATTCAGAATATAGATTTGCGTTTCTGTTTGTTTAATGCATTGTTTCTGTTTTGTGTATATATATATGAATAGATAGAAGAACACTTTCTATTGTATAATTTGGAATTATCAAAATACTACATATGGACGACTTTCTTAAACACGTGTAACTAATGTTGTATATATACGTTAATATGTCCAAATTGTGTTGATTTTTCAATATAATTTTTGCATTATTTTTGAATTACATGTAGTTATTATTACTTTAGTAAGAAATTTGATTGTTATAGAAACTTTTTCCTTAAATAGTTGAGAGGGCTTGGATTTCATATTGAGTGAGAAAAGTTCACCCTTCTATTAAAACACATGAAGATTTGTTCCCTTATAAATGCATTCTAAAAAAGTATACTGAAAAACATTCATGAATAAATATTTACGACTCTATTGCCGATGAAAAATCCACCAATGTCTAGAATTGTTGAAATAAAAAAAAAATCAAAGTAAATACGCTGACACGTTTAGTTTACGAGTGTATCTTATAATTTGAACCTTTTTTTCGTACTTTAATTTTTGGTTAAATCTCTCATACAAGTGAAAAACGATCTATGTGAAAATGCTGAAAAATATAAGAATGGTAAGATGATAAATATTGTAAAATGTGAACTACGATATTATATGGTTTTAAAGAAATAGAAGAATTGATACTGATTATCAAAAAACATTGTTGATCACTTATATAACTCGTATATTGTTTATAAGTATATTTATCAATTTTGAGACTAGCACAGTCGGATTTAAATGTATGTTTGTTGAACTATCACTGCCGATTTAGTAATAGTATTCTTTCATCATTAATGCACCAATTTTGTATGTTAAACTAGCTCTTAATTTTTCATGTCACAGCCCATCCATAAAATTCCAACCAGTTCATTTTATATCGTGTCAATAATATAACAGACAAAAAACCAATGGATTATAAATGTGATTTATATTTGAGCTTCTTCTTGCCTTTGCAATTTCAAGGGAAATAAATCTAAATAACAAACTGTTCGTGCGACGGTTACTTGCAATGGTTGCTTGAAAGCATAATCGAGTAAACACAATATTGTTTGCTATACATACGAAAAACATCCACGTGAAAATAATACCATGCAAGTGGCAGCTAAAAATCATCCAAATACTTTTGATTGTAATTCATAAAACATACGTCGATATCACGTGTATACATCAATTATTTTTAAAAGTTTAATGAAACTCCTAGTTCGTTCAGCGGTTGGTACGGTAGCAAATCGGGAAACCTCAACTATTACTTCGTAATTATATGATAGGAGATTAAGCCTAGCAGAAGATGCTCATTCTGTCGATTCCAATGTTCCCATTCCTTTTAGAGCTCATGCTATTGCGAAAGTTTTCCTGTTTGTTTAAATATACTAAGACATATCCTATTTGTTTTTTTAACTTATATAGATAAACTCATCATAGATACCAGGATTATAGTATAGTGCCTACAAGATTCACCGAAACCATAACGTCCCATACTTTTCTCAAACAAAAACAAGAAATTACCGTGTTGATAGATGGCTACATTTTAGTTACAGTAAACTATGACTTTAAATGTAACGTCGATCGCGTCTGTTCATAATTCTACGACTCAGACTATTTTATTCTTGTAGTTTCTTAGAAAAGAGTTCAAAGTGCACCTTATTCGATATAGAGTTTTTCAGTAACCTTGAATCATGAGGCAAACATTCTAGAGAAGAAAGAAGAAATTGAAAGGTTTCCATCGTGTCATATTTCAAAGTTATTATGTTTAATGGCTTATATACAGTTAAACTATTTACGCGAAGCAATTCAAATTATTTAATTGTCAGAAGTCGAATATAAAAAACAATTGATTTTGACATGGTTTCACGTTATTCACCCTGTATTATCTATCCAATCATATTTAGAGAGATAGATATTAATGACGAAATCCATATTTTTCGTCAGATGTTTGTTTACATTTCAATGTAATTTACGAATTCTCTGCACTTTGATCTCCGAATACAAACCGCATGAAGCCAAGTTGATTCAGTACAACTGCATTGTAGGTCCCTTTAATTACTGTTTATTTTATGCGACTGTCATACAAGTGAGAGGTTTAGCAAGCCATAAAACCACGTTTAATCCACCATTTTCTACATAAGGAAATGCCTGTAACACGTCAGGAATATGACAGTTGTTTTCCATTCGTTTGATGTGTTTGAGCTTTTGATTTTGCCATTTGATAAGGGACTTTCCGTTTTGAATTTCCCTTGGAGTTCGGTATTTTTGTTATTTAACTTTTTATTGGTTTATACTTTTTTGTCTTGTTAGACTTTTCAAGGTTTATTAGTTTTCATCTAGAAAGGCAATCGATGTTGTCGCGGAATATTTGATGTGATCGATTTTGACTCAGCTCGTACAGCCTATTTACCTGATTTATCGTTGATCGAGTTAACCATGTGTTAACTGAACAAAGTACAATCTAAATGATCTGTCAAAAACTTATCTGGTTATCTAAACGAGAAGTAGTCTTATTTCAAAACTGTAATTAATTTTTCATTCATAATGTAAAAAAATCATACAAAGATTCCATGGATAATTTCATTTTTTTATTTTTTTTTGTTTTGTTTGTTATTTAAATTGCTTTCATTTCTATCATATCCATAATTTTCACAGACTGGAATTGAAACGCGTGGTTAAACATCTCAGGCCAATTCTAAATTAAAAAATTAATATCTTATTCTTTTCATTTTGGTCTGAAAATATGTGTCATTTATTGATAATCATAGTTTCAATGAATGTGATAAAGCATCAGGTAAAGTAGATAATTTAGTTATATATGCACGGAAAGCCATTTATTTTTGGACGCTCCATAAAAGCAACATAAAGTTAACCAAATCGCTTCACATTGTCATATCTTACAAAATCATTAAATTTTATACGAAAAAGTTTTGTATCATTGATATATATAGGCAATACTTTTAATTGTCATACAGACATGCTATAATGGTAAATTCTCTATTCAATCATTAAGTTACATTTGGTAAACTGAAACTCGATATTTGTCACTATAAATAATAAGAAGATATTGGATGGGCTTGACAATAACAGCAATACGTTGTGTTCCATGACATCTTTGTGTCAACATGGAGCATACACGATCTCCTAATTTTGTTAGCTTGAAGACTCGTAGTCGTTTAGTTGGCTTAATGGTATCCAAGTTAATAAAATGATTCTTAAGTAAAATTTAGAGGCATTCTTTTCTTTGAATATTGATGATACAATTTATTGATAATCATACGTGAAATCAATGTGATAAAACATCAGATATAATAGATAGTCTAGTTATATACGCATGGAAAGCCATGCATGCGAATGTTTATGTTAGGCGCTCCATAAAAGCAACATAAAGTTTTCTAAACTCCAAAACAGCGGTGACGTTGCTTTGCTTAAATCAACGTAGAGTATCAAGGAGGACGTTACCACTGTTTCGGAGTTTGATATATTATCATATCATTTGAATATGTATTGTATCACTGGAGGCAAGAAATTTAATCCCCATGAAGACATGATATAATGGTTAATTCTCCATTTAATCATTAAGTTACATTTGGTAAACTGAAATTCGATATTTGTCTTTATAAATAATAAGAAGATATGAGATGGCCTGTTCAATAACAGCAATACATCGTGTTCCATGAAATCTTTGTGTGGACCGTACACGATCTCCCAATTTATTTAGCCTGAACACTCGTGGTCATTCTTTTGGCTTTATGACATTCTAATTTATAACATGATTGTTAAGTAAGATTTGGAGGTTTGTTTTTATTTTAATACTGATGATATAATTAGCATAATAATACAAAAAAAACATTTAAATCGTTTATCTGTTTTGATATATAAATCAGGGCTACAAACCTATGCACTTGTTTTTGGTTCTCCTTTTTTGTTTTTCTCTTATTTATTTGGAGTTTTTGTTTGTTTGTTTGTTTGTTTTTTTTTTTTTTTTGGCCGGGGGTTAAGAAATATGTTTTTGAATCCAATAACCACAGTACTACCTTATGATCAACAAAGGGACTGATAGAAGACGAATAAGTCAGATTATTCTTGTGCTTACGTGGGAACAAATCATAAATTTCATTTAATATAAGGCCTGTTTGAAAACCGCCGATTTTTGTCAAACATTTTTACCTGTTTCGTGGCAGAGCCTTGATTTTTAATTTTTACTTCATTTGAGTATTAAAAATTGTATGATATAATTATTTTCACAATGATACGTAACTTCCTATTCTGACATAAATGAGGGTCTGATGAGTCAGAAGTGGACTATTGTGAACATGTGAAGACATAATCTGAGCACCATAACAGTGTAGAATGGAATTTAGACTTATAAAAAAAAAGAGATTCATATGTTAAATTAGTCAAGATTGATGAATGTGACTTTTTTAAGTGCTGATACACGTAGAAATTTAAACATATTATGTACCTTAATGGTCATTGCTTAATTGTTTCCAGAATCGATTTGTTTTTATAGAAAAAAGAAATGAGGTTGCATTCATATTGCTCATTTGAAATATGTTTGTGTAAAACATCTTTATTGTTCACACTTCTTTGCAAGAAAAAAAAACATATATAGCTGTTTAGTATACAACTTATTCTATTTTCAAAAGTCAGTTAGCATTTTTTTCAAGCTTTTTCAAAATTCACTCATTGATACAACAAATTGATTTCGAAAATTCCATTAACTTTTTTTAAAACTTGGCGATGGTCTTTGAAAAATGACACGTACATTGCCTTAAGTTGTAGTTTAAAATAATTCATGCTTGTTCAATCATAGACATTTTTTTTAATTTTCATATTAATGGCTTTTTAATGTATTAACTGCATTCGAAGGACACATACATAATAAATTACTAAAATGATAATCTACAAAGAGGAGTTGTCTTTAATTAGAGTAAAGATATACAAAGGAATGTTCTGATCTGTTGATAACATACAGTAACATTCATTATTGTTATGGGTTCATTATTTTTTTTTATATACGGTTTTGTAAATTAATAGCAATTCAGACAAATGGCATGCCTTTATTTGTGACTTTTTAACGTTTTTATGTTTCATTTTATGATAAATCTATCATTATGTTTTTGTTATTTTATAAGTTATTGATATATTTGTATATTTTTAGTACACATTATATTCAAAAACAACTTTA